GAGTGTAAATACACTTTAAATCTTAGAAAATAAATATATAATTTTAAACATGTCTTTAAACCTTTCTTTATAGAATTTATAGAAATTTTCGTACAGTGAAGCAAATTTTGAAAAATAACCTACTTCTCGTGAGAAAAAATAAGTTGTTAAAGAAAAAAAAAATACTGATTTGACCATGTTATTACAAGATAGTACTGAAATTTCATTATATATTCTACGTAAATCGTTGAATATTCTAAAACGTATTTCGCTATAACTCCCAATTTCTTGCTGTAAATATGAAGAGAGAAGTCGACTTTCTTGGAAAGTTGAATAAATGTTTTTTTAAGAAAGCCGAATGAAGCTAAAGCGAGCGAGCAGTTTGGTACACTTGAAAACCAGGAGTGTTCTTAATATGCTGGTCTGTGTTGCTTAGCTCAGGCTAGATGCGAACAGACGCTGGCAAATTTGCAGGGGGGGCACACGCATTGTTTCTACATGCTGCCGAGAATGATGACAGCTTGTAGTGCACTCATTTTGAATAACATCTCACGGCCGCCATCAACTGCCATAACCACACAGTACGAGTTCTGACTGAGCAGAAACAACCCGCCCTGGCAGCTGTCCACATAGTATACAAGATTATAGCAGACTGTACAAATCAAACGTACATTATGAATGTCTGAGGTTTACAGTAAGCTCTGGTGGTCTCTAAAAATGTATGTCCACCGCTGTTGACGTGTACATTTGTATTATTATAAATCTGGAGCACGTGGAATGTTACTGGAAATGTATGGAAAATAATGATGGCGAAATCGAAATCATTTTTTTTTGTCATATAGTCTAGTAGAGATGTGACCTTTAGAAATTAGTTTCGTATGTTCAACGACATTTGTATTATATTTAAATTAAATGAATAAAATCGTGGCTAGTCAATGGTGTAATTCTCACGAGTAAGTATAATTGGGAATCAATCACCTTATGTCATTTTTATTGTTCTCAAATATGGCCTGATAATGTTATCTAGAACTATGAATACCCTATAATGCCATCTTTGTGATTACTTTTTCTTAGAAAAAAATATTTAGAAAGTCACTTGTTTATTATTAGTATTTGCAATTCATATTCCGGTTCGGAATACTAACGATGATCATGCTATATCACAAAAAACATGTTAAACACAGCGCTATGTAAATCAAATCACTACAAAACAAATTACATCTTCTGGCAACCAAACTCCTTTATTTCGTAATACAGTTCTGCATATACAGAGGTATTGTTACATAATAAATGCCATGAATCTCAATGAGGTAACTGATTAATAATTCTGTAAAAAAATAAAGGAGTACAATTATATATTACGTGAAGTTCGTGTTCTTATAATGTTCTCCTGTCAATTATGGTAATTATTTATGATATAAAATTCAAAAATAAGCTTTGTTCGATGTACACAAAATTATAGAGTGAATCTTGCTTTAAAACACACAGGGCACGTTAAAAAGACGCTGCTTCAAAATCGCAATTGTGTCATATTGAAATGATCAGTATTTGATTGGGTCGGGTTGTACATGTAACTCCTATTCTTGTCCGGTAAACTCTGCTTCATTTTAATTTCTTAATATCAATTTTTATTAGGCGTGTTTACATGGTGGGCCAGTGTTTGAATTACCTGCTGTATTTCAGACATATCCCACGTAGTCTTGTCATCAGTAGATGTAGGATTGGTTACATCATATACGTCCAACCATTGTCTTAAAGTGATCACTGCCTTCTGTACATCGGCCACTCTACTTATCTCACCTTGTTTGGTGTTGATAGAAGTGTTCACGTAATGGCCCACTGCACGTTGCCTACATCCTTCTTTTGTTCTATTACCTCTGATCGTATTGCCAACTCTTCATAAGCACCAGGTTTCGGTGTATTAACGTATTCCATCTCTGTCTTATTTTGTTCGTCGTGAATATTTAAAGACTGGTATTCATTTTTGTCCAAATTATCTTTGTCATTAGGATGTACATCTGTGATAAGGTCTTGATATGTACGATTACTTGTTTCTCCCAAGTTTGTCATTTCCCTCTCATCTGCAGATTTGAGTCTGTTTGGTAAAACAACAAGAGAAAATTGTTTAACGTGTGTAAATAGGTGGTTTACCGTTCACTGCAAGATCACGCGTAATACATGAAAGACACGGATCGAATGTTTGATTTTGAACTTGAATTTCTCATTTTTTATAGTTCAATGTCGAAATGTTCATTGAAAAACCCTTACGTCATCAAAATTGAACATCATCAAATATGTACACCAAATTATTAAGCGGGAAAATTGTTTCTCGTTTGTCGAATTCCACGCGATGTTTTGACGCAACTACGAAGTTATGAATTTTGTTTGTCCTAATTTCACGTTCACACATAACACGGGATCGCACAGTGAACGGAAAATATTTGACAGTATGTTCAGATGTTAATGAACTTTTCATCCAAGTAATGAGGGTCCATATATAATGCGGAAATACAGATCAGACCAATGATATACACAAAAGTGTCTAAGGCGGAAGCACTGATCACACCAGTGACATGCACTGGGCTGTGTTCTATATTTTCTGTATCATATGAACATACATGTTGCCATGTCACCATTTATTTACGATTGAATCAACAATTCAACTTACCTTACCCTTCTGCACAGAAATATAGACATCAATACGACTATTGGTATGATAACAATGATAATAACAGCAAAACTAACACCCACGTATACACTCAGACTCGTACCTGTAATAAAAATACAAAATGTATTGAGTATCACAGTGGAAGAAGAAATATATCTAATCACAAACATTGCATGATATATGCCAGATAACGCAGAATTAACAAATACAGACATATAAAACATGAATTCAATTTATGTTTTAACAATCACCTGTCTGATTGAATTGCTTCTCACACATATCTTCATTGCTCTCACTTGACGAAACACTCGGTTTGAAAGTGGTATCATGAACAAATGAGTTGTCTCCACTCGGTGTCGAACTGTACTTGGAAGTATCATCAGTACCTTATTAGATGACATGGAAGAATTGTTTCAAACAACAGCATAAAAACAAATCAATAGATTTCGCGGTAAGTAACATAAAAAATAAATAAGTTGTTGAAATATTAAAATTCTCAAGAATGAAAACACGATATTACAACAAAAACAGGTCTGAAATTTGCAAAAGGAGAAATGCTGTTGAATACTTACTTTTGGATTCACCATTCAGTTCGCTTTTGTGAGTAGTGTCAGTCATTTTAAGTATAGTAATTGATGAAGGTGTAGATACACTGGTTATAACTAAAATTCACGATTAAATTACATTCTGGGTCATTTACGAATTTTATAATTAGCACAGTCTAATATATGTAGAATTGTGTGATATAAAATATAACAATGTATAAAAAAGGAGCAATGTATATTGTGGTGGTATTAACTCAACTATCGGAAATTCGTACAATGATTCACTCAATTACAATGTGAAACATAAATGCACATTGTTATATTCCGCCAAACTAAAAAATCTAACTAACTAAAATTATTAACTAAATGACAAGAATGCAAATAAAAATAAAAAGATGTTACAATTAAAATGATAAAATGGAATTCATGACGTTCACAGTCGGCATGATATTATAACATATTGTATAAAATTAAAATATCGCACTGGATACTTAAATCGTAGAAGTCGTAACCCTAGCGTGTCAGTATTTACAAACAGGCCTTTTTGTTTTTAGCATGCGCTGTTAATGTCGCTTGGTACTCAATTCCCGCGTGTGTGCAAGTGACGACCTCTCCGCTTTAATAGAGAATATCAAAATTTTCTTTTATTGGGACACCATAATTGACAACTGTTGGTGTTTTTATATGAATTTCATAAGTTTGACCTTTCAACTGAATAATGTAACATTGAATAGATTAATGAATTTTATTTTCGACTCAAAAGGAATTGTAACACATAAATGAGGATATATTTATATAACTCATTACCTTGCCATAAAATCAAATCCAGCTTTAGTATTGAAAACATATCTCGCCTGTACATGTAGGTACACTACTATTTCACTGTCCATAATCTTGACATGTTATAACACTTACTCCATTCAATATATAACCAGTTGTACATCTAAATATAATGCTATATTTATCATCTCACCTGTACATGTAGGTACACTACTATTTCACTGTCCATCATCTTGACATGATATAACACTCACTCCATTCAATATATAACCAGTTGTTCATCTAAATGTAATGCTTTATTTATCATCTCACCTGTACATGTAGGTACACTACTATTCCACTGTCCATCATCTTGACATGTTATAACACTCACTCCATTCAATATACAGTTTTGTATAACCAGTTGTTCATCTAACTGTAATGCTATATTTATCATCTCACTTGTACATGTAGATACACTACTATTCCACTGTCCATCATCTTGACATGTTATAACACTTACTCCATTCAATATATAACCAGTTGTACATCTAAATGTAATGCTATATTTATCATCTCACTTGTACATGTAGGTACACTACTATTCCACTGTCCATCATCTTGACATGTTATAACACTAACTCCATTCAATATATAACCAGTTGTACATCTAAATGTAATGCTATATTTATCATCTCACCTGTACATGTAGGTACACTACTATTCCACTGTCCATCATCTTGACATGTTATAACACTTACTCCATTCAATATATAACCAGTTGTACATCTAAATGTAATACTGTCGCCAGGATTGAAATAATCAGAGAGTGGAGATGGAGTCATTATCACGTTCGAATACACTGGATGTGGTTTACTGCACTGAGGTAGAGCTGTAGAAAATACACATTGACATGTTACCAATAAAAACACTGTTTGGCAACACTGTTTAGATTAATTCATACGTAAAGCAAAGAACAAGTACAAGCAAAACTTGTCAGATATTCCCTGCAGTGCGACGTGAGTGTACCATTATTTTATGCCAGTATGCCAGTTACTGTAACAAACAATTGTTCACTGTACCGTTCATGTGCGTAAGCATATGCGGTGTAAAATAAACATTAATTGTGTTGTAAATTGACACTGTCAATGGGACTTTTACACACGTGACCGAGGTAGTATCACCGCCTACATCGTATAAATACGTGAATCATCAGAGTAAATAGAGAACAGGAATTGTAGTATTAGTAGTTTCCCCACTGCAGAGTTATAATTTGTACATGTATGTAGTCACAAAAACAAACTATGTATAGTGTCGCATACGACT